GGTTCTCCTGGATGGCCGCCTCAATCACGCCGACAATCTTCTTGCTAGTTGGCGCCAAGGTGGCGCCGTCGCGTCCCAAGCTGAGCTGGACCCCTTGGACCTCTTCTCTGGGGAGGGCATCGCCAGCGGCTTCTGAAGAGACGGTAGGTCGGAACGAATCTCCTGAGTCACCTCGCCGAATGTGCGCCCCGACCGCATGCCCATGGCGATGCGCCAGGCGGATTGCAACCAGAATTGTTGCATTTGGTGTAGTTTGTCCGCCCCTTGGGCGCGGACCTTGGCCACGAACCAATTGCAATATAGGCGTTCACGTCGTCCTCTGCGCCGAATTGCAGAAGGATCCAGGCCCATCTTGCGGCCTCCGCCCCGTCCAGGACGGTCAACATGCTTTTCGGCTCCCATTCTTTCTCCTCGACAGTGTGGAGCTCGTCGCCCACGACCTTGAAGGCGGAGGATGGTTGGGCGGTCTGGCGTTTGAGAGCCAAGGCGTTGAGCTCGCCGCCCGCCGCCCAGGTACGGCGGGAGAGGATTTCGCCCAAAGTGAGCGCCTTTCTACCCTTGACCGGGAACTCGCGGCGCTCGCCCCCGAGGAGGCGCTTGTTGTAGAGCTCGATTTGGTCCGCCCACTGTGGGAAGTCCTTGGGCGGCTTGTCTGAGGAGCTGCCGCCCCTGGAGGCGGCCACCGAAATGGCACCCGGAGTCGCCACGGCCAGGGTCAATGGGGTGTTGCGCGCGCTTCCAGCCACAAGTGGACGAGGATCGCCTCACTCACGGCCGCGTCTGCCGTGTCCTTCCACTAGCCACATCGACCCAAAGGTGTCTGGGATCGATCTGTTCTGTGGGCCACATCGCCCCTGAAGGCTTGGACGTATTCGGCCCATGGGCCGTCGTTGAGTAGCCCGATCTCATTGTGCGCCCACGGCCCATGGAGCCGCGCCTGCTTGGCACGCTTCACAGAAAGCAGACGGTGCACAAATTCGCCCTCGGCAGGGGCATCGTACCTGAGTACGAAGTCTTCGCCATGTCGCCAGCCAGTGACATGGCGTGGTCCAGGCATCGGTGTCTTGCCCTGTTCATCCGAAAGCGCCAGGCGCAGGCGGCTGGGGCCAGACGCTGCCAAGTCGCCCCTCAAAGGCGCCGACTGGTGCGTACGGCGGGGCTCTCGCACCCAATCTGGCACCAGCAAAAGGACCGCATTGCCGTGAGTCTGGCACGGTGTCCGCCAGCTGTATCCTGGAGGCGGTGAGGCGGCGTCGGTTGCAGAGTAGGTCGGAGCCGCGCTGGGGCCAGGCCTGGCAGCCATGGTGCCAGGACAAGGGTTAGGTCAAGGGGGGGCCCCCTCGCAACTGAGCCTAAGAGGAATCTGCTTGCAATTGCGCGGCGGAAAGGCACAGAACCCAACTCAGCAATCTTTTTCTCCGCCCGGTTGCGCCTCTCAGCTCAATGAGCTGGAGGCGGAAGAGTCCGAGCAGGATGAGTCGGCATTAATGGCCTCGGGCGGGGGCGGTTGCCCGCCCTGAGGGAAGCACCTCTTGCAGAGGTCCGACCCATGTCACGCCTCGCTGAGGCGGTAAAAGTTGCGTTGGCCGCATGGCCATCCGCATGGCGCCCGCCAAAGGGCCCTTTCATTCTGGTCCTCCGCCCTGTCGGGGCGGTGGACCTTGCGTGCGCGATGAGGCATGATGACGTGGGAATTGTCCGTCATCGCCCCTTGGCCCGGTTCCCGCGGCAATGCTTCACGATACTCCACCTCGGGCTCGTCTTGGCCGGACGGCGCCTGCCACTCTCCCCACGCTTGGGGTCTGGGGTTGGCCCCCGCCACTCTCAAGAACGCTTCACGGGCAGGCGGCGCCGCAGCCTTCTTGCGCCGCGTTGCGCAGCGCGAGGTCGGCCGCCTGGGTAAGGCAAGCGGTGCCGCCTGGCTGTATCTTTCTGGGCAACGGCACTCCGTTCGCCACGAGGAAGGATGCTCCTGTGACTCCCGAACTTGGGGACAACGTCGCCCTGGGCGGTGACCAGGTGAGTGGCAGGCGGTGAGGACCCTCTCCAGCATGGCCACCCAGTCTCGTTTGGTGGTGGTCCCGCCCGACCTGTCGGGGAAGAGTGGGCCGTCGGGGCTGTCCGCCCCCAAGGCCCTAAGTCGGGCTACACAGCGTGCGCAAGGTGAGGAGAGGTTCGCCTTGCTGGGCGGTCTTGTGTGTGGGGATCTGCAGATTGACCTCCCGAAGCGAGACGGAGATGTCGCCCACTTTGGCTGAGGCGGACTTGATCTTGCGGAGCATGAACCACGTGACCACCACCAAGGCGTCCGCCCCGTGGGACGGCAGTTGCCCGTCCCAAGGTGTTGGCGGCGCTCTGGGCTGTATCACCACCACGAGCACCAAGAAGTCAAAGGCGGTCTTGAGCTTACTGCCCGGGAGCCACGGGTCGCAGCTCTGTGGACCCTCCTTGCCAGCTTCTTCAACAAGTCTGGCACCGCCTGTTGTAAGGCGGTCTCCCGGCGGCGCATGGCCGCCTGGAAGTACAGCTTCACCGAGCTGTGTCCCACCTCGCCAACACGTCGGCGGACACGCCATGTTGCAAATGGTGACCCATGTCCTGACTCGGTGGTCTGGGCCAGCATGTTCGCCTGGAGCTCCATGCCTTGCGCGGGGGCCGCATTCATGATGAGCAGCGCCGCCGGTCTCGGGAACCTATCTGGGGGATTGAGCGCCAGGAGCCTGGGTATGTCGCCCAGGCTGGCCACCCCCCCTTGTTTGAGGGCTGGCAGGTGATCGTGGAGTTCCAGGAGCTGCCGCCATCGCTTGGGCGGTGAGTACTAGTTGCTCTTGAGCCAGGCAAGGCGCTTTGCAGCGGGCGGTTTGAGCCCTTCGAGTGGCACCCGCGCCAAAACCAGTCCTTTTCTGGCGAACGCCACGACACCACCGCCCAACAACAAGCGAAGACGGCAACAGGGGGCAAAGTACGCCTGTGACCACCTCAAAGTGCGCCTCCCCAGATCACGTCCGCCTCCAGCAAGGCGATGGGAGAGCGAAGAGACTACCAGTCGAGAGAGCCACAGATCACCACAAATTACGCCTCCGCTGACCACGTCCGCCGCCGTTCGTTGTTGGGGCAGTTGGTCGCCCGAGAGCGCCTTTCGGCACCCTCTGTAGCCCACGCCTCCCATGAGCTGCACGCAAGAAGCAAGGCGGCGCAGTCTTTTTCACTCAGGCGCTCACAAAGTGGTCACCTGAAAGGTGGTATTTCAAGCAGACCGCCCGCATGGCAGGCGGTCTGCGGAAGAGCAGGCCAAGGGCCAGCCGCAGAAAGGGCCGCGCAGAGCGGCCTGTCAGGCGGCTTTCAAAGGATCGCCCAATAGGGCGGTGAGCACCGTGAGACGCCCAGGAGGGCTAGGTGCATCGGCCCTTGGGGCCTCACATTTGCCGCCCGTGTTCTCCGGCTCGCTTTTCTCACAGGCGGAAAGGACGGAAGTGGGGAGGCCGCCCTGGCCGAAGCCGCCTCTTCATTTCCGCACAGCGCTTGCAGCGATGCGGGCGGTGTGGTCGGCCTGACACACCGCCCTACGGTACAGCAGGCGTTGCCTGAAATGCAGGGCGCCATGCACCACCCCAGAACGCGTCCCTCATCACGGGCGTCTGGGGTGATGCCAGCCAGTGTCCAGTGGCGCGGCAAGCGCTGGACAAAGCATCCGAAACTCGTCGGCCTCGATCGCCCTCTCGATCTCATGGATCTGGGCAAGCTCCATCCGGCAGAGGCGGAGGGAGGCGGAGTCGGTCACAGGCTCGGACGTGACCGCCCCCTCCTGGCCGCCGGTACGGGTTGTGCGGTCTGACCGCGCCGCCCTCAAAAGGCGGCGGGATGGCAAGGCCTTTGCTCTCCCTTTATGTTGGAGGGGCGACCGCCTTTCTGGCCCTTGCCCGCCAGCTCGGCCTGCTCCTGGGCGAACTGCTCCTCGCCCGATGTTGGGCGCAGCGCCCTTGCGGCTCGAGCTCGCCCCCGGTCCGCAGACGTCGCCTCGATGGGAGCGGAGGTTGGAGACGCCCAGCGGCTGGAGCGACTGAGTAAAGTCCGCCCTGCATGGCCCCGGGCCCTGTAGCTGGACGGGGTCCGTCTCAGGGCGGTCGTCTCTTGGACCCGGATTGCCCCTGTGGCGGTAGGCAGCACGGAGTCCGGATCCGCCCGCTAAAGGGCGACCCCTCGGGCATTGTGTCTTCGCCCTGCTGGGGCGGTGTCACGCCCGGCTGGGCGTCGTCCTCGACCAAGGTAGTAGGCGCCGTGGCTGACGTAGAAGTGAAGCCAGCCGTAGGCGCCGAGGAGGATGTAGGGTCGCCAGCAGCAGCGGCGGTGTCCTCGAGCGGCTCGCCCAGAGGCTGGGC